TCCAAGCCATGAATAGGATAGTCATCACACCCCGTACTCTAGAAACTTTAATAGTTGGGTTGAGAGACAACCCCGCGCGAAATCTTCATCAAGGGTAGAGAGAATCTCTCTGACCGCCTCATGTGTTGGCAACATTAAGGAAGGCCGAGTCCCAAATAGTAAGGGACTTTGCAACATCAGGTCCCTCGTGAAGGGACTGAGGCTATTAAACGATCAACAATCCAGTCAAAACACGTGATCAAAGCCATGGTGATTAGAGCCCGTGTCTTCCTCATAGTCTGCTAGCTGAAGTCTCTCTCAGAGGCGGTGAATGAAGCGACAAAGGGAATGGCTACGTGCGGCAGATGGCGCTTTAGCAGAAGACGCTACCTCCGAGGTCTCGACCTATGTTAAAAGCCTGCGAAGGCGTGGAAACAACGGGAGGCGTTGGCGTGAGGCACAGAAGCGAACACAGTCGACAGGATAGGCACCGATGCTGGAGGAGGCAGAGAGTGCCGTAAAAGTCGGTGGCAAAGGTGGCAAAGGAAGCTGGAGGAGCCGAAAGGTGAAGAGGCACCGATGTTGCTGGTGGCATAAAGCGGCATAGGCTGATGTACCGGCTTGACCTGATTGTAAAGTCAAGAGAGTGCTGAAGCGTGGATACATCAAACTGCTGGTGGCAGTATGGCGTCTGCATCATAGAGCGCCTGAGGCATTGGAAACCCGTGCAGGTGGTTGATACACGCATAAAGCCTGCCCGGGAACACTGGCTGGAAGTCTGTCTGACGGCGCAAACTGCTGGCCCATCGGGTCGTTGTGGAGACAACATCGGCAACAGCGTAGGAGGTGAGGGCGCCAAGCCGAAGCGCAGGCCGACGGTCCAAGCGACGATGAAGCTCAAAGCACCGGTAAGCGCTGTAACACCCGTTGACATAAGCGGCGAGGATTATCATCTGAATGCTGGTGACAGGCGCACTTTCGTTGACACAGTGGGCGGCAACAACACTTGATGTAGGCGTAGTGGTGCGTCAAGACCCGGCCGTCAGTAGACATACTCTTTAGTCTCTGTTGTCCCAGGCGCTTCTTAGAAACCTGGAGATAAACGGAGAAACTCTTTGGTGAAAGCAAAGCGCAGCTGGCACATTTATGGCCAGGGGTACATTGAGTAGTACAATTCAAACATCGGGATGAGGGTCTTTACGAGACTTCCCGACCGACAATGTATACAACTGGCTGTACATAGATCTGCAATGAAGCAGAAAACCCAGTAAACGCACATAAAAAACCCATTACATACAAAGTAATGAATATAACAGCATAGTTGAGAACAAAAGTCTCAAAACAACTGAAAGTTTAAGAGACCATAATACAGGCACAATAAATATACCACTATTATATGGTATAGTATATAAGCCTGAACCAAATGAAACACAACGACTTATCAAATACGGCGAAGTGTTGTAATGGCGAAGTGAAAGTGTAATGACGGGACCGTGTATAAACGAACGACATCACTACACAAAACTACTGAATAACAAAAAGAGAAAGTGAAAGATAATACCTACACTTCTCGTAGAGGTACAAAAACAAAATACACACAAAGTCAGTCTTTATTAAAGATCACATATACCCTAGGGGGTACAAATACATAAATCACTAACTGGCATCGTTATAAATGAAACCCCGTAATTAAAACTACTCATTTCGACCTTTAATTGACTTAAATCGACCTTTTTGACAACAGTGCACAATTCTCACCCGCGAACGAAATTTCAACCAATCAGAGCGGCGCGTCTCTGTGACGTCATATGAGGAATAGCTTTGGGGGCCGATGCAGAATTCATCTACATTTTAGGGGGTAAATTATCTTGTTTACAGGCTTGTATAAAACCTGAAATCGTGACAATTGTTGTGGAAAATGAAAGCTATATGTTCTCACAATCTACTGTCATTTAATTTTTGTCTCCTGCTTTGCCTAGTTTCTGAGTTACAACTTGTTTTTCATAGACGATTCTGTCAAAATCGATTGGTGTCATTAGGCCCCTATTTGTATAATGACTGATCCAAATTGATCCCAGTTCTGTGTTTTTACCTCGATATTTAATCATGTCATGTAAAAATCTGTTTGTATTCTCAAAACAGTGTCGGCCCATAAGTTTTCACATGCAATACAGCAATTAATACTCCCTTGTTGTAACCCGGCTGTTAGGTGGTATAAACCTACACATGTTATTTGTCATCATTCACTTGATGGTCAGTTAATGAATTTATAACAGGTATAATTAGTGGTAACACACTTAGATTACCGACAAAGGTTCCCATTTGGCATTTCTTGTGTCTGGAGTAAATATTCAACATTATAAACATCGATCAAAGGATTAACCGATAACACGCTGATTGATTAATTACTTTTATCTTACACAGTTGGAATTGTCAAAGGTAGTGTTTATGTATGTAGATTTACTAATCTATACTGAATACACACTGTAAGTCGTGATCGGTGTCTCGCGTAAAAACAACGTTCTTCTTTCAAAGGATTAACCCGGCAATACATTGATTGATTGCCCATTATTGGCTAACTAAATTACTGTTTTTTAAAGAAAGAAGTAAGGACATTATGCAATTAGTTGCCAGGTGTGCTATCTTGGGTGACCAATGAGACTATACACCAATACCCGAAAAGATTTAATCACTTTTTAGGTATATTAAACTGTTAAAAGACACATCATTTGGAATAGTTTTGTGGATATTGATGGATACATTCCTCGAACAAGGTAATGGCCTGATATTGTTCCTATAACTTTAATCTGTTTTAATTTTAATATTTGCATTTTGTTTTTATTCATTTGTTACATGAGCATTCAGCAGAATCATTGTTTTCATGTGAAGTGTAATGAGACAGACAACATACACTAGGGTGTTATTATGCGAATTATGATTCACATTGGCAAACTATAAAATGTCTAGATATTACAGTTCTTGTTATAAATTCACTATAAGTATCAGCAGATCGTCTGCTTTTTATTTAGTTTCAAAATGCATACAAGTATGATAATAAACTAATTAGGATTATAAGACCAAATATAAAAGACGCATTACTTGACTAGTATCTACATACTGGTGAGTGGACATTAACCATGTGAATGTAGGAAGAAATTTATCGGCGCCAGTATTGTGACTTCGACTGCTCCACCTGCCTTCATGGAAGAAATCGTTATGTTATAAGTTGTGTCATGCAAAATCCGCTTTGTTTATGATTCCAATACATATTTAACTACATGGTAGAAAGTAGTTTTGATTTTCTAACTTGATGGAAGCGAACTATAATCTCATTCAATTCTAACAGACTTTACAATTTCCATGGCCGCTTCCAGTCGGGAACATCCGCCAGTCTGAGGATAAATGCTATTTAGGTTTGTTTTCACCGAAAGTTACAAAATCAAAACTACTTTCTAAAATATGTATTTTATTGATAGCCAATAGGATTTTGCATGACATAGCGTATAACATAACAATTTCTCTCTGGCAGCGGGTGGGTGTCAATATAATACTACTTACAATATTATTGTTACTTCGACCACAACCTCACTTCGAGGAAGAAATCGTTATGTTACAAGTTGTGTCATGGAAAATCTTTATGGTCATCAATCATATACGTATTTTTACTACAACTAGTAAGTAGTTTTGATTCTTTAACTTCCGTGAAGCGATCTGAACACAAGTAAGATATCGCTTTCAGGCTTCCGCAACGCCGCCAAGACTCACAAACATAACCCATTTAGCACCTAACTGCGGGTCCTGTGGAAATCTGTGCATGGTGACACCATCGCCCGACCCTAGGAGCAATTGGCGACAAAGCAACGATTCGGCATGTCGCCGCTGATGTCGAGAAATCAGCAAAATGATGAGCGCTACACACTTTCTATACAACTAACTGAAAATCGTTCCTCATATGACGTCACTGCAGTGCTCTGGCGACAGAGTTACGTAACCTGTCTGTGGTTTCGTTGGCGGCGAGAGGGAAGCAGGCGACTTTTGGCCACTTTTAATCGCTCGGTATTAATTAACCACAAGTTTTTAAAGAATAAATTTGGTGTTCCGCATAAGACTAACCACAAATCTTTCATATGTAATGGTTAAAAGAGTAACAAAAAACAAAGTTTATTGGTTCTTTAATGCTTCACAAAAATATAATCCCGTAGGATACAAGTTGAGCTGGCAAACAACACGTCTAACGAGGCGTGCGAAAAACAATAATCTGAGGTGGCTGACGTCACCTTCCGGTGACGCATGCGCCGACGAAGAAGCAGCCGAGACCAGGAAGTGATTGCAGTTCTACGTCTTTTTGACATCGTCTGGCAAGCCACGCTTTTTGAGCCGTAAGCAATAAGTGCAGGAAGTAAGTAAGTGCAGGATAAGTTAAAAATACGAGTTTTTTGTTTTGTAAATATTTTTTATTAAAATATTGTTACAACTGTCAGAGGATTTTAAATGGACATTTTAATGCTTATATGCACTCAAAGGGGAAGTTCTTCTGAAAAAGAATGAATCAATCAAATGCCCTAACTTAAAGATATGTACGTAATTTCTTCAGACAACAGATACCACTTCTGAAGCAGTCATGAAAATAATATATATCATTTTACCCTTTGACCTTGAGGGTGATATTTTTACCTTCAATTTTGCTGATAACAAGACTTTCATACATACTAGGCAGCATATATTAATGTCCCAATAAAACTATAGCTACTCATTGATACTTCAGGTGCCAGGCCTCCTGATAAATACTGTATGTTTACTGTATGTTAGTATAATGCTGCACTCAGCAATATTCCAGCTACATGGCAGGGGCCTGGATATAATCAAGTCTGTACCAGGACAAGAAGGAATCTTTAATGTGAACAATTCTTACATGTTTTATCATATGACTCACACAAAAGTGAATTGTCCCTGCAAGTCATTACTAAACACAATAATCACTGTAGGATAGGGCTACCAATGCAACAGAAGAGCCAACTCACCTCACTGAGGTCCAGGAGTGGCCTCACTCTTGTGGTGTAGTCAGCCATGTAGTCCAACAAAAACACCAGGTACCTGCAAAAGCAGTCTGTCATTAGCATCCATAGTGACAGTCAATAGGTGTTGGCTCATGAAGTCAACTTTTTGGACTTTTTATAAGGCTCAGGACGTCAACAAGCTGTACGCTTTGAAGTTTGGGTGTTAGTTTAGCACATGACTAATCTCCTCTGACATCTTGTTACAAGGTTGGTGGTTGATGGAAGTGAAAACATAACACACGGACGATGGACCAATTGCTAACTCAAAAATAACTCAAATAATTAAAATATTCGTGAACACTATTTATGAAGTGAACACATCACAATCAAATAAATCAATGATGAACACATCTAACTACATGGGGATATATAATGAGAAGAAACATGATAGTATACATTCCATTTCGAGATAGCTAATGCTCAACTTGAACATAAGTTTATTCCTACATCTAGTGGTGGTTATTATTTATGTGTCGCTGGGATTCAAATACAGAATCAACAAAAGGAAACAAGAATGGAGAGAGGACTGCAATGCAACAGCGTTAACCGTGAATGATATTGCCACCATGGTGAAAGATGACCACACTCATCCAAACGTCCAAATCGACATTAAGGTAAACATTTTCTCAATGTTATATAGCATAGGTTGCAATCATGCAATAATACAAGGATCGATTAATTTTTTACTTGACCTACTACTTTACATCAACATATATATAAGATCAAAAGTTTTTAGGTGTAGGAATCCTTGGAGAAGCTGAAGGTAAAGGCATCATCGGCTCACCCCGATGCCATCCCTCAAAGACAACCAATGAAGAAGATGAAATACCCAGACCTGGAACCTTCAAGAAATGAGACACCAGATTCAAAATGGACAATTAACAGTCAAGCAGTTTGCTGACTCAGCACCTCAACTTTTGCATCTGTCATAAATTATAAATGTATTTGCTTAAATGAGTAATATAAGAGTATGTATTTTGTAAAATTTTGTAGTACTGTGTAACGTAACTATTGTTAATTCCTGTAAAATGTATAATGTATATACTAAGTGAACTGAGACTGAAATAAAACATTATCTTTAGAAATTAGACATATATTTGACTCATTTTCTCATTAGGTGTGCTTTCATGCGCATAATCCGGATTATCCTCTTCTAACAACACGTAGTCCATCATTGTCTTTATAACCCAATGTTCATTGCTAAAATGTCAAAATGCACAGGATGTAGACCTTTTTCCGTCACTCATACGTGATGATTTGACCAAAAATGAATCCACTTTCAAATGACACACTTCCCATAAGTAGAACTTGTATGCCATCAAGTGTGGCTTGATCATTAGCATGTCAAAAGCATGATTCAGGAATACACTGATGTCTTCGAAGTACTTCTGCAATTCAGTCTACAAACTTGAGAAAGTCAAAGTAGATATTTTGGCTAGGCTATTGCGTTACGACTGTTAAATATTCATAGAAAACTCACTCTTTGTATGCAGCATTCTTCTTGTCCTTGGCAACATCAAATAGTCTGTCAAATATGGTTAGGTATGTGATGTAGTCAATTTTCTGAAAAACCAATTGGTACACATTCACTTATAACATGTTAGTGAAAACTTCTTTTGGTTATGATCACAGCAGGATAAAAATAATCATAACATGTTAGCGAAAACTTCTTTGCTATGATCACAGCAGGATAAAAATAATCAACTGTGTACACGCACGCACGCACACGCACGCACACACGCACACACACACAACACACACACACACACACACGTGTAATGTGCCACTTACCTCAATACCTTTGAGGTTGAGGTATCTCTCGTAACACTGATGCAGGTCCAGGTAACGACCATATCCTTCTTCATCAGTGAACTCAACTGCATCTGTAACACATGTTGCATAACATTATCACAGTCGATTATAGAAACAGTTGAGCACAGGGAACATGGACCCAGATTCCATTAGAGGTGAGAACGACAACTGTGTTAGTGACAGTTGCACAAAATCAAGATAGTGGATTTCACTGGATGAAAACAAGTCACTGTAACTCACCTAGGCATAAAGTCAACAGTCAACAAGAAAAGCCTTTAAAAGTGGCACCATTGGAGGCACCTGAGTAAATTTAGTGAGAAGGATGCGAGATGATTTGGGGGATGAAGATGATTTCAAGAGCATCACGATGACCATTCCTCCGTCTATTAGAGACTTGCTTCTATTAGAGATTGGTCCTTGCATCGCAAATATGGTACTCTAATCTCCAGTAAATGACATTTCATATCAAAGATCTTCGTCATGTATAACCATGTCTGGAAATGAAGTACTAGTGACAGACGGAGGAAACATGGTCCTATATAGTGCCACTGTCGAGCCAGCGTCTAAAAGCGCGCATGGTTTCGCATAGTGATTACTAAGACGGTATAACGTATGCTCAGCGCTCAGCACTTGTGGTACTGTTACTGAACACGTCTCTCGCCAAATTCCATGAAAAGCTAATGGGTGTTACTAAAACGGAATGGATTTTCCGATTCTGCAATTCGAAATCATGAACTAAACGAGTACAAGTGTGCTTTATTACATGTAAAATTGTTTTGAATTGAAAGTGTATGAGTTTATTAACTTTTTTGAACAGCAAAAACACAGAATGTGTTTAAATTAGAGATTTATAGAAAACTCTATTTCTGTATAAAAGCGGTTATTTCCGATTAACCACATGGTCACATGGCTCCTAATTTGCTACAGCTATGTTCATTGGTCATTTGGAATTGCCAAAATACAAAGAGACGAAGTATCGTTGACTGAAAGTTCATTTTGAATATTCTAAGTGAATAGATAGAGAGAAATTTCACCTGAGAGACAAATTCAGAGGTCTGATTAAGAGGTTGGAGGCATTTGCACCCAACCAATAACAGCAGCAACTGAAGACTGTTAGCACCAATAATATCTTTGAATGTACAAATGTTAGACAATCCTGCAGCTCTAGCATTCCCCACAACTGGGGTTCACTCTTCCATTCTAATGTGGATCTTTTTTGCAGAACACTAAATATTCACATACTCAAAAGTTATACATGTAGTAGAGTATACAAAGTTCAAACATTTATATAATCTAGGTGAAAGAATCATCATAGTGTTATAGTACATTATTGTAGACTCGGAGACCTACTCTGTGTTTCCTCAGTCGGATTTTCCCTTTGCTTTGCCAATTCCTCAAACTCAACAGACATTGGGACACTGATCTGAAACAATAACAAGAATGTTCAATCATTAAACCTTTACTGCCCTAAGCGTGAGTGAGTTTAGTTTTACGCCGCTTTTGCAATATTCCAGCAATATCATGGCAGGAACACCAGAAATGGGCTTCACACATTGTACCCATGTGGGGAATGGAACCCACCTCCTCGGCACGACAAGGGAATGCTTAAAGTTTAACCACTAGGCTACCCCTCTGGATGTAACAAAATTGATCCCAGATACACAACATTAAGCACAAGGAGAATATATACACAAAGGATAATTGTGTTCATGCAATTGAGGAACACATTTATGGTGGCTTTCATCTAACGATATGAAGGCTGGTTGTATTGATGTATGGTACGCTGATGTGGTGGTTAGTCTCTTGGGTTGAGGGTGGTCTTGATGATTTTTTTAAGGTTGGCTGGATACTGATTAAAGTAAATAACAACATGATGTGTTCTAACTGAGGTTCACTTCACATCTGACCAACCACCCCTTATAAATTGAGAGTGGAATAATCGCCAGACTAGCCAAGAACATCAGCTCAACAACCCTTGCCCTTGAAGCCGAGTGCAAGTGAACTTGTTGTTTTTAATCAAGTGTTTGAAAACAGTGTTTGAGAGCATCGAGGTGGAGTCAGATTGGGGATGGTTACAGGCTCTGAAGTACATCTAGACAATTCTCATTTAGCTGAGTGCATAAATCTGCAGTTACAGCAGGAAGAGATGTAAAAGCTTCTCCGGTTGTTTTGCCTGCCTCCTTCTTCAAGGTTTGTATTCACAATGTCAGGGCTTGTTCTACCTGTGTGTTCCAACAATATAACCACTACATGCATTAGGCTGCTGAAAAAAGTAGTTAAGTGAAATGGCAAACATACTTTCATACATCTCATGATAGAAGTATCCTGTTGAGAATGAACAATACCTCATTTGGATGCTGGGAATGGAAGCGATCTATGGCTGCTAAGCGAGCCCGGAATTCTGCATACTCATTGGGTCCTGCAAGAGCTTGAATCTCATCTTTACGCAACCTGAAGTGATAACATGAAATCCTCACTGTAACAAATGGTAACTAAAACATGACAGTCCATTTGATTTCATTTGAGACCAATGAATTGCTCACTAACACAAAATCTAATAAATGCAACAAAACCAAATCTTGCAGTCACATGAAATCAACAGACCAACTCTGATGATCTGTCTCATAATTTTGGACACCCAAATATAAAAGCTGTTAAACAAACGATCATTATTGGAATGCCTTACATATTTTTTAGAATTCTTTTACAATAATAAATCTAAAAGTAATATTGTCAGCTTTACTCATATAACTAAATAAAATTGCTGTTCACTAACCTGTTTATGATGTATTTGTCGCAGCTGAGTGTGAAATATATGTGATGTAATAAGGGTCTCATGAACGGCCTTGGTAAAACGAGATTTTCAAGACACTATGGAATATGGCAGAAAGTTCACTTCACCCTTCGTGTATTTTCGAAAACATCCAAACCAATTCTAGATTTATCAGCAACATTTCAGAATTATCATTGGGGAATTGATGAAAAACTGATATATGTGATCTTTAACATATGATACTAGTTTCCTCACACATCAACAAGAACATAGCCGAGGTTCTTGAGAGGCATATAGAAGTTGGTATTCAAGTATAAGACAAAATATTATGGATGTCAACTTCTTCTTTATTGTATACACAACGTTTCTGGGCTATTCCTTGCCCCTTCGTCAGGTGAATGCTAACTAACAGATATACAGGATATATATATACTAGTGATGTACATGAAGTTTACATCCATAATATTTTTGTCTTATACAAGAATGTAACCATGTTGAAATCACTTGCAACGTCAACCTTAGTCACACTGAGGTCGGGTCGGATCAACCTTAAATTTTCACCTGGACTAAGGCTAGCTTAGTGTAAGGTAGATTTGTGCAACATGACTTCAACCCTAGCAAAGGCATAAGGTTAAAACTTAAGGAGATAAGGTAATCTTAAGGTAATCACTAAGAATGTTTTGCTCCATGTTCAAGAATTTACTGTCTGATTGTGCTGGTATGCACTCATTTTTTGTAACTTCAGTAGAAAGGTTAGCTGTTCCAATTGGGAGTGGGCCTCTCCTTTCCTTCATAGTGTAGATAAGAAGTACAGTCATCCCTCGCCATGGATGACCCCCCCGCGTTATTAGACACCTGCATTATAGTAACTATTACATAACGCGTATATATCATCTTTTAAAATTGATCAACATGACTATGAGAAAATACTTCATGAACCGTTGTGGCTAAACCATCAATTTGTTAACTCTTCTCTGTTTATCTCTAGTTGGTTTAATAAGGGTGTTACTGAGATTAAAGACTTATGTAACTCTGATGGACTACTATCTTTTGATGACTTTAAGAATAGATTTAAAGTTAAAGGTACCTTTTTTGGATTACAATAGAGTTTTGAGTAGTATTCCCAATACATGGAAAGCCACATTAAATGACTATAAACTAGAAAATCAAAATCTTGGTATTAATGAAGCGATATTAACTCTTACACCTTCAAAAGGCTGTAGAATATTTTACGACAAATTGATCAAATCAGATAGATTGCCTGATGTGTGTAGAAAATGGGAAGTTGTGATAAATATTGCTATACCCTGGGACGCTATTTTCTTAAATTATAGAAAATGTACTAAGGATATTAAACTCTTGGATTTTCAGTACAGATTCATTCACAAAGCTATCTACACAAGAAAAGAACTAGTAAAGATGAAAATAATTGATAATGATCACTGTATATTCTGTAAAAGAATCTGAGGACATTGTACATGTGTATGTTTCATGTGATATTGTCCAGACTTTTGGAATGACTTAAGTACATATATTAAAAACACTGTTAATATTAATATCCTATTTACAAAATTTACTATATTACTGGGGATTAACACTGGCTACCTTTTTATTGATAATATCATTCTTGCGGGAAAAAGATTCATATATTTATCTAGTATTAATGATAGAAAACCATCCTTGGACACATTTCTAAACTCACTAAAAACAATTCTATCAATTGAAAGATATATAGCCAAAAAATAATAACATGACAAAGTTCCAGAGAAAATGGCCCAAGGAATTGAAACTGTAGTATTCTTCTTAGATAAATATATGATACAATACCTACTATAAAGTGCTAATAACTACTATAAAAGCTCTACTCCTATTATATTATATCTAGCTATACTGTGTGCTATGAACTGAAATAACATCTCAAATTAAAATACTTATTTATATAAGTGTAGCATGCTATATACAGTATTGTTCTGGCCGGATTAAATTGTTACTAGGTCATCACGGATATTTCATTACACTATTTTTTGTATAATGATTTTCCATGAAAATCAAGTGTAATATGTGTTAGCTCAAGACTATACCCTCTTAATATTTGATGCATATGTCATGCTTGCTTTACTATTTCACTAAATGATACTCAAATATCACCATGTATGCTTCACTGAAAGTTTGTCTTACTACATCACCAAATGATACTTAAATATCAACCCTGCCACTGAAAGGTCTTACTACTTCACCAAATGATACTTAAATATCACCCTGCATGCTTCATTGAGATGTTTGTCTACTACTGTATTTCGTCAAATGTCATTATACCATCCTGTATGCTCCACTGGAATGAATAAAAATTATAAAAAAAAACAAAAAAAACAACTATTACATAACGCGGAACAAAGGCCAAGTAAAATCGTAATTTTCATGGACATAACAAAACTGCTATTTAGTGTACTGTGCCCAGTCACAACTATATCGTATTGTTGGAGGTAAAAAATACAAAAAAACTTTGTAAATGAAAATAGATGGATGTACAGGAAACTTGCAATCAAACATCACCAAACATGATAATTCAGTTGTTGTTCCTGTTAGTGTTATGCTACCTGTTATTCAACTAAGCCGGAAATAGCAATCAGTTGTGCAGAGATGTTTTGGTCCAGTGTACCAGTGATTCAGTTAAAAACGATCCGAAAATATAACATCAAAGATCTTCTATTCCATTTTCAGAATAATTTATATCTCAAGCAGTTATTTTAACAGAGATATTATATACACAAAGAACTTAATTAAGCACCCTCTGTATTTTAGCGATGATAGGTTTTCCACATGTACATAAAACTTCTTTCGGTGACCACGAAGGAAAAACATGAGTTTTTCTGACCCGTATGATCTTTTGACACATAAAAAACGACAACATGATTGGAATCCATGTTGATTTTATGATGATAATTGCACATTTAAAAAACACACTGATTTTCATACAAAACCATGTCTGTACAAGCATGGCCCTGAAATGATTAATGTTGAATTTATTGGTGAATGTGAACATTCAAAATGTCATTTTGCGTGTCTTACACGATTCAAGGTCTGTACCGAGTGTAACCTCCATGTGACTGTATGCCAGCCAGCACTCTCCTCCTCATAACCCCTGTCAGCCTCCTGATCCTCTGAAGGGGCAGTCTACATCATTCCTCGTGTAAAACAGCTTCCAATTGTGCTCGGTTCTGTACAGGAGGATCCCTTTGTTGCACACAATGACCAACCATGTTCTAGGTATGCTCCAAAGGGTTAGGATCGGGGCTCATTCAAACGTGAGATATGTCAGGGGGTGCTTAACTAAGTTCTTTGTGTATATATTGCTATTGTCTAGGTATAATGCATGTTTTCTACGAACATATTTAACGTAATTAACATAGGTTCAGCACTTTGGGCTACCTGGCAGGATACATTTTACGTAGGAGACAGTTGGACAAGTCACCGCTGAGGCTGTAATCTGTTCGTGCTTGCTGAGAATAATGTGAAATTGGTGCTATCACGAATTCACGAATGCGGTAAGCAGACGTTGTATGGAATGAGGTAATGCCATTTGACTCACAGTTTCTCTGTTGTTACTGTAAACAGTTTTAATGAATGAAAATGGGATTGAATTTCATCAAATAAAATGTGTTTTCTGACATCATACGTTCTCGGATGACGGTGTTTACCCGCGCAATGACGCTGTGTGTTGCATCACAGCAAACATTGTAAGTACTCGGCTGATGGCATGTCTTTGTGATAAAGTTGTCTTTAATAAGTTATTACGATGTTTGCTGATCATCTGATTATTATTTAGAAAACACATCATGTTTTAAGCATCTGAAAAAACATGGATATGTACTATAAACACTGTTAATTGCCATCCGCACTGACTTTCACTAGTTTACAACATGACTAACCAGAGCTCAACCGCCGATTTGTTGACGAGCTATTTTCGATGATGTGAAGATGTGTGATCGCTGGGCAACTTTTTTTATGGGAGCCACGGATTACCCCGCGGTTTAACCGAATCCGTGGTATCGCGAAGAGCATTATTGCGAGGGATGACTGTAGTTGATCAGAAGGCTAAATTGTTTCTCCCTTCTCTTTCTTGTTCATACTAGTATAGGTTGGTTGGTTGCTTGTTTAATGTTGCACTCAGCAATATTCCAGCTATATGGCTGCTGTCCATACTGGTATGCAGAGCCCCAGATAAGCTGCGTATCCGGGTAAAATATGCATAGAAAATTTCCATTTACGCATCGAAAAATTTTTGTTGCGTACCAATTACGCATTTAAAATGTTAAATACACAAAAAGGTTAAAACAAATGCGTACGGAATATATTTATAAAAACCGCTTGCGTAATGAAAAAGACATCGATTGCTATCAAGTTGTACTGTTAGTATAGGACTAGTGTTGTACTGTCAGTATAGGATGAGTGATTTTTTATGAAATCATTTCCATTATATTTAAGTTGGTTTTGATTAGGTATGGCATAAGGCAGAACATACCTGCTTAGTAAACGTACTCAATGACGTAATACTTAGGTGAGTAATATGACTGGAATACTCACATATTTGAAAGCAGTGGGTAACGGAAAATGAAATACCCACTCAACATTCATAATACCCACTCAAAAAAAATACAGTGGGTACAGTACCCACATAAATCAAATCTTATCTGGAGCTCTGCTGGTATGGAGAAATTTGCTTTATTATCAATATTGTTAACACTGACATATTTCATGTCTGATTTTTCAGCAGAGGTTTCAATTTCATATGCTACAGCCATATATTTTTTATGTGTAGAACAGTTTGACCTATAACAATTGAGGTTTCATACTGTTTTCATATTTTGTTTGTAAAAACTTTCTGTTGAAATTTAATACTATCAACAGTCAAACAACAACAAATATCACTTTTAACACGTCAAAGCATGGCTACATGTAGCCATTCTTTGTCAAGTAAGGTTCATTCCCTGGCATCAAGAGTGGTAATCTAATTATGGTTGCTGGACTTAATCATGATAATGGTGAGTTGGCTTTATGTTCCCTACATTACAAAATATTCGAAGTCTGTGTTTCAAGTTTCCCCCTTTTTACTTACCCATCCTTGTCTTCATAGAGCTCCTTCAGCTCACTGGTGCAGTCCATATAACGCTGACAAATATAAAGAAACATGGATAAAAATCTCGTACATATTAGGTTTGTGAGTTTACTTTACAAAGCAGTTGGAATATTTCAAGAGGATCCCTGTTAAAGACAATATTTTAATGTATGACTTGAGATAATAATGTGGTTTGACAGAGAATGAAAACCTTTGAGCGATATTAAAAGCATCTGTCACCATTGCCATGAAGCATCAATCACCAGTTCTCATGAATACCATTGCTGATTATCCAGATCATTATGCCTCCATTCTTTCACATTATGTATCCATGACACATTTACAAACAGTCACCATCTCCATCACTAGATCATTAACTAATAACAGCCTCATATGAGCCTTGAATATATTCAACTAGCTCAAAAGATTATCAAAGATTTACTTTAGATGGCAATGTATATGTCAGGGTAGAGACTGCGATCTGGTAGAATCAGAGATTCTACCAGTAGAGATTGCGATCGCAGTCTCTACCCTGACATATACATATATAACTGCTATAGCTGGAGCTTTAAGACAGGGGATTTGATCCCTATAACAGTTGAACATTGGACTACTGCTGACAGAGCTACTGGGCTAAACAAAAACAGCATAATTCTAATGATAGGTTTCCTAAACATAATGTCATTTGCAATCAGCTTAATACAAAGCTTTGTTGCTAATTGTATGGATACCTTTTGCTTTTTTATTTTTATCAAGATAATCATGATAATATATTCAGATATTAATTTGAACATTCGGTATACCTTGGAATACATCAATATATTCAATGTAGCATTTTGATGTGCAAACTAGAAATAGCAAATGGCCATAAAGAGCTACACTTCAACTTGGAAGGGAAACCTTTAGTTTTAGCATGAAAAAGCCATTTGCCTTTTTCATTTGTGATTGAAATTTCAAGATAAATTGGTTTGAAATTTCAGGGGTTAACAGGGTTAAACCTTCCACCAAACACTGATGATTTACTGATGAGTAAATCTACTTACATCAATAAGTTGTTTCAGGCGCTGGTCTGAATTTATTTGTTCCCTCAGCTGTAACAGAAACAACAACAAAGCATAATGTGTATGATTACGATGACAAAATATGAACATCCATTAACCCAAGAGTTCTGGAAGATTTGAAAATGCAGACTCCAGAATGGAAGAGGTAGAGGTCAAAGGTACATTGCTGGGTGAAAAATCAAGACATCAATACTCATCACTGCAAATTAAAAATAAAACATAGATAAATGCACAAATGCTTCAGAGATGGATCACTTGGTGGTCCGAAACAAGTTTCATAGATGACAAGAAAAGATTAGTATCGTAATTCCCTCTATTATCGGAGTAGTTATCGCAGTCAGGATTATGAATGCCAGCTGACATTTGGCATTTTAGTATACATATTCAGTTGATTAACATTGATTAATGTTTAATCTTCATTTCTGTTTTAAATAATGTGGCATATAGTCTCCACTTGTCCAATATGATTGTGGCAATCCAGATTGCCTTGTTTGACCCGGAAATTGAAGCAACTGTCAATTATCACGGTATTGCTATATTTTGCTATGGGACGCGGTACAAGCACATAACACTGTCAAACATTTACATCCAACAAATAACAAATATTAATAGTTTTAACCCCCTGGCTGCCGAGTTTTTTTTCAGGCGCACATTTTCATACGGTTTGAAAAGTGAACGTTGTGCGAGAATTGCGCTTGCGTGGTCCTGGATCTACGTACGGCTATAAAATTACACAGAAATGTAGAATATTAAATTTCCTATCCGTTGGTATAAATATAAGTGCCACTACCTTGGTAGTTTGAGAAATAGACACTGCTAAATGTTGTCCAAATGTTTGTTATCGTTAAAAACAGTAAATTTCTCCGCTTTTTATCACAAGACCGATAAAAGCACTGTGCTATGAATTTATTAATGTGGCATCTTTACGGAAAGTGTGAGCTAAGAAAATACAGCCTGATATCTGAACGACATAAAGTGTATATGAATTGGGTTTATTTGCTTGTGCATAACGCTATACGCTCAACATTAAAATGACTCACAATAAGTGTCAAAATGGATTTTCTTCTATGACGTCAAACGCGGCGACAGAGAGGTCATACACGATAATGATAAGGGGCATAACTCCGTTATTCGTAACACTAGGTCAATGTTACTCAGATCACTTGGAGAGAATTTGTTGTGGATACGGACGCTATATTTTCGTTATTTTATGTTTATGGTGAACCAAACTATCACAGTTCAAAGTTCCCCAATGTGAGCGGATGCAGTTTGGTAGTTTCACAATTTACAAGAAAAATGACAACGTCTTACATGTGAAAGCAGGTAATAGCGATTTGGATGGCCCTATCCGATATATAAGTTAGTTCTTAGATTCCCATATTCTCCTGTTTGTGTAGATGTAATTTGACTAATTTTGCATTGTTATTACCAGAATACTAGCCATATCTTCAAATGTAAGGAAATTGCTGAAAATATCACAACATTTAAGTTGACGTCATTGCTTGTTTTATGCTTTTGGGACGTCGGAAAAGGACGACATTGGTATGCTGATTAGTATATATCTCACCTAATTTCCATTAATTGTATAAAGGTCTCGGCTTCTACGTCCAGAATTTAACACTCTATAAACAAAACATAAAATGACTGATTTTTCCATTTAAATAGTGTCCTGAATATATCATCAATTAGACGGTTTGACAGTGTATGTTATTGTGAACAACATGCGCACCTGTTTGGCATCAACTTAACATAAATAAAAATAATATTTCTCAACACCCAAATATTTTGTTTGGGATAAGAAATTTGTTTGTTTATGATTATGTAGCTATTTCTCTTCATACGTATGCAATGAAAGATGCAAAAAGATAGCTTTTTATATATGGAACTACACAGATGGTATATGAGATGGTATATATATATTCAACAATTTTCCTATAAATGTAGTTAGAGTTTGATATCCTGTCATCGCAATATTATTTAATCGAATATGAATTGATTATATTATCGAAAACAATGATAGAGAATCATAAAACGTTTCCAACAAACGCGCACCTGGCCAATCAATATGCATTATTCTTTTGTCTATAAAACGACACAAATTTATGCAATGAACAAGACAATTCCTTTAAATATGTGTGCATATACATTTCATACCATATATAAATCATTTTCATTAATATTATCAGTTTTACATATAAGGTTGAATTAAATCACCGCTTCATTAACCAGTTCATATGAAATTGCAATATTAGTCCAAATAAATTGAATAGGAACTAAAGTAGTTGCAATTATGGCTACGCTTTGATCGCCTAACACTTGTGTAAAGGTTTAGAATATGGTGTATTGCACTAAATATGTCAATTTCTTATGTAAATATGATGCAAACAATCAAAAACTTTCAAAGAATAAAACACCGTAAACCCTATATGCTGTAGATGATATGATATTGAACAAGGCTAAATGTGGATACTGAAGTCAGTTTCATGAAAAGTATCTGAACTATAATGCTAAAAATACACCATAATACTGACAGTGTAATCGGAAGGATTGGGCGATTGTCTTTACTCTTGTTCAACCGACCTTCACCTCAAAGAAATTGCCTAATATGTACAACAATGTTGACGTGATGACATCACTACCGCTGACCGATTTCTTACAAAATGGCGGCTTTGCTGACAAGGGTACACAGGATTTTGCAAGGACCCTTCTATTGATTCAGGGATCGCTTTGTACATAAATATGACATGTAAGTAATCAGAATGATTCTGACTATCTGTGTATTGTTATATGTTTTTATCGCTTTCACTATAAGTAAGAGAAAAAGCCAGAAATGCAGATAATTACCGTTGTCGCTCTCGCGGATTTTAAGGCCAGTCATGGCGTCACGCTGCACGGAAACTTTGACAATTTTTATGAATTATCAAATCATTGCATTGTATCTATTTATAATTTCCTATTTCTTGCTAGATACTCTTTCCATGCATATTCCAAAGGTATTGAGCCATTGCAAGCAATGAATAGACGGATGAATGTTGGAAAATTTCAGAAAATGTTACACAGTGTAAAATAGGTTTTGTCTTTGTTTACATTTCTCTAACCAGCGCAGTCTTTCGAAAGCACAGCCGCTCGCTTTCACACCCAATATGTTTCGCCTCATTTTATCTAGACAGTTGGCATTGGTGACAAAGACCAGTTGCAGTTTGATTCTAAAATGTATGGGGAATTCATTGATGCATTTTTGAAGCTGAATATGAAATATAATGCGATGTAATAGGCGCCTCAATACTGGCCTTCGCTAAACGCGTGATTTTGTAAACACTATCCAATATGGCGGAAAGAGCTCTCACGCGTTCGTAAGTGTATTTTCGAAAACATCCCAACCGATTCTAGATTCATCGGCAACGCTTCAGAATTATCATTAGCGATTTCATGTAAAAGTGATATCAGTGTTCATTAATATGTTATTTTTAAATTCAATACTCCCAGTAATTATCCGATTTTCACATTTCAAAACATACAGCAAATAACGCTGTGAATCGCGATTTCGTACTGTGTCAAAAATGGCGACATTTTCGATGAAGCCTATTTTGAAAGGTCATTTTCAGCACTTGAGCTTTGTCTAAAATAATAGTGGATGGTATCAAGAAACAGGAAATTTCCCGCAGAATTCGAAACTGTGAAGTGTATTTGTGTGCGTGGGATATTTTGATTTTTATTGGACTTGAAATTGAGGGTTGAAGGGGAAGGACATATATGTCCCTGTGGCATCCAGGGGGTTAATATTACAATTTACAAATTGTACTGTCAGTAGAATTAGTAACGTAATTTAATTTTTAACAAAAACAATTGAAAATTCTATTCATTTGGATACAAGGGTACATTAACAGAAATAAAATATGTTGCAGCCTATAGTGAGCCATAGAATTCACTGACGTGTGCAGTGTTGAGTTGCACAATACATCACTTCCTGTTAATTTTTAGGACATTACAATATGCAGATCACCTTGTAGTTGTCGCAGGATTACCCTTGACAAAGTAAGTTTTGATTGGTGCAAGATGCTTAGGCGATAGGAGCCTAACCAGTTTCAAAATGTTCCAGCACTTGCTGGCACTTCTACCTTCTTTTCATGTGCCACAATAATAGAGAGCCCACAATAATAGAAAGTCTGTGTATAATCAGTAGAGGATGTAACGTGTATGCGAGACAAGTGACTGCCTGAGAGGGGGGCACTCACTTAGGTGACCGCCTGAAAACGGAAAGGAAAATTCGGCATGAAACACAAAAATGCATCTGAAGTGTTTATTTATGAAAATAATTATACAAAATTTATTACAGTCATTGATAGTCGTTCAAGTTATTGAATGACATAATAATTGTTGTATTACATGCTATTTGTCTGATAAAGATAGGTTTTTAAGTAGGTTTGAGTACATTAACTGAATTTAATTTCATTGTTGCAAAAATAATAATACAGACCTAATTGTTGTGAAGCACATAACTGTACGTACACATTTACACACAAAAGACCGCCATATAGATGGAATATTGCTGAGGGCAGCGTTAAACAACCACCACCACCACTCATACGAGTTAAAGGAGAAATATTTTGGTAAGCATAACCCGATCAAATTAGAGGATTCAAGATAATTCTCTTGGTTGATTATCCTCCCGAGCTGGAGTTTTGTTTCCCTTGTTTCGAGCGTTAGTTGATGTTATCACCCGTTATCAGTTATCGGCGTGGTAAACTTCAATGTTAACTCTACTACTAAATCATAAAAATGGCATTGATACAACATTGTCTAATAAGATCAATAAGACACAGTAGATCGGTGTTTAGACCTACCACTTTCTTTGGATGCAGCATCTCCTTCGTCATCGCATCCATCAATCTTTCTCTTTCTTCGTGATATCGTCTTTGTTGTTCTAGTAAGGATTCCATGATCAAAACAACACATTGACCGTACAAAACGTGTATTATAACAATCGTCGAGACGATGGATGATTACTCTCGACACCACGGAAGTAAGATCCAATCAGCATGTACAAGCATTTGGGCGCGTACTAATGTCGATGCAAGGAAAATACGTTGTAAAAATAAGCAGAGCTGTGAATGACACCAGGATTTAGTTTCGTATACATTTTACACCTATTCATGGAATAAACGAGCCCCACATTTTAACCTAACATATTTTCAAAAACATTTCAATTGAAACAAACAGAAACTCTGTGAAATTATTTAAATACTAATTTCATGTCTTAAATTTCACTCCATTTGGTAGCAAGACCTCGTGGCGCAACGGTAGCGCGTCTGACTCCAGATCAGAAGGTTGCGTGTTCAAATCACGTCGGGGTCATAACTCAATGTTTTGCAATCTATATGTTTTGGGGTTGTACAGTCGGACTAGTTCTTAATATTGGGTCCGCTGATTCGGAAAAATCTTACCCAATCAAATACATATAAGCACTTATTTATTATAATAAGTTAACATGATAAGAGTTGATTGAAAAATATTGTTCCTAACACTATACATGAACCTTGCTCTGGCCGTCCTAGCGTTACATCCTACTATACTCATTCTCTGGCCGTCCTAGCGTTACATCCTACTATAATCATTGTCTGGCCGTCCTACTGTTACATCCTACTATAATCATGGTCTGGCTGTCCTACTGTTACATCTTATTATAATCATGGTCTGGCCGTTCTACTGTTACATCCTACTATAATCATTGTCTGGCCGTCCTAATCTTACATCTTACAATAATCATGGTCTGGCCGTCCTACTGTTACATCCTACTATAATCATTGTCTGGCCGTCCTACTGTTACATCCTATTAAAATCACAGTCTGGCCGTCCTACTGTTACATCCTACTAAAATTATTGTCTGGCCTTCCTGGCGTTACATCCTACTATAATCACTGTCTGCCCGTCCAACTGTTACATCCTACTATAATCATTGTCTGGCCGTCCTACTGTTACATCCTACTATAATCATTGTCTGGCCGTCCTACTGTTACATCCTACTATAATCATTGTCTGGCCGTCCTACTGTTACATCCTACTATAATCATTGTCTGGCCATCCTACTGTTACATCCTACTATAATCATTGTCTGGCCGTCCTACTGTTACATCCTACTATAATCATTGTCTGGCCGTCCTACTGTTTCATCCTACTATAATCACTGTCTGCCCGTCCAACTGTTACATCCTACTATAATCATTGTCTGGCCGTCCTACTGTTACATCCTACTATAATCATATAATCTGGGCCGTCCTACTGTTACATCCTACTAAAATCATTGTCTGGCCGTCCTACTGTTACATCCTACTATAATCATTGTCTGGCCGTCCTACTGTTACATCCTACTATAATCTGGCCGTCCTACTGTTACATCCTACTATAATCATTGTCTGGCAGTCCAAGTGTTACATCCTACTATGCTCATTGTCCAGCTGCCCTACTGTTACATCCTACTATATTCATTGTCTGGCCGTCCTACTGTTACATCCTACTATATTCATTGTCTGGCCGTCCTACTGTTACATCCTACTATAATCATGGTCTGGCCGTCCTACTGTTACATCCTACTATAATCATTGTCTGGCCGTCCTACTGTTACATCCTACTATATTCATTGTCAGGCCGTCCTACTGTTACATCCTACTATATTCATTGTCTGGCCGTCCTACTGTTACATCCTACTATAATCATTGTCTGGCCATCCTACTGTTACATCCTACTATAATCATTGTCTGGCCGTCCTACTGTTACATCCTACTATAATCATTGTCTGGCTGTCCTACTGTTACATCCTACTATAATCATTGTCTGCCCGTCCTACTGTTACATCCTACTATAATCATTGTCTGGCCGTCCTACTGTTACATCCTACTATAATCATAGTCTGGCCGTCCTACTGTTACATCCTACTATAATTATTGTCTGGCCGTCCTACTGTTACATCCTACTATAATCATTGTCTGGCCGTCCTACTGTTACATCCTACTATAATCATTGTCTGGCCGTCCTACTGTTACATCCTACTATAATCATTGTCTGGCTGTCCTACTGTTACATCCTACTATAATCATTGTCTGGCCGTCCTACTGTTACATCCTACTATAATCATTGTCTGGCTGTCCTACTGTTACATCCTACTATAATCATGGTCTGGCCGTCCTACTGTTACATCCTACTATAATCATTGTCTGGCCGTCCTACTGTTACATCCTACTATAATCATTGTCTGGCCGTCCTACTGTTACATCCTACTATAATCATTGTCTGGCCGTCCTACTGTTACATCCTACTATAATCATTGTCTGGCCGTCCTACTGTTACATCCTACTATAATCATTGTCTGGCCGTCCTACTGTTACATCCTACTATATTTATGGTATAATCATTGTCTGGCCGTCCTACTGTTACATCCTACTATAATCATTGTCTGGCCGTCCTACTGTTACATCCTACTATAATCATTGTCTGGCCATCCTACTGTTACATCCTACTATAATCATTGTCTGGCCGTCCTACTGTTACATCCTACTATAATCATTGTCTGGCCGTCCTACTGTTACATCCTACTATAATCATTGTCTGGCCGTCCTACTGTTACATCCTACTATAATCATTGTCTGGCCATCCTACTGTTACATCCTACTATAATCATTGTCTGGCCGTCCTACTGTTACATCCTACTATAATCATTGTCTGGCCGTCCTACTGTTACATCCTACTATAATCATTGTCTGGCCGTCCTACTGTTACATCCTACTATAATCATTGTCTGGCCGTCCTACTGTTACATCCTACTATAATCATTGTCTGGCCGTCCTACTGTTACATCCTACTATATTCATTGTCTGGCTGCCCTACTGTTACATCCTACTATATTCATTGTCTGGCCGTCCTACTGTTACATCCTACTATAATCATTGTCTGGCCGCCTGTTACATCCTACTATAATCATGTATCCTCTGGCCATCCTACCATCCTACTATAATCATTGTCTGGCCGTCCTACTGTTACATCCTACTATAATCATTGTCTGGCCGTCCTACTGTTACATCCTACTATAATCATTGTCTGGCCGTCCTACTGTTACATCCTACTATAATCATTGTCTGGCCATCCTACTGTTACATCCTACTATATAATCATTGTCTGGCCGTCCTACTGTTACATCCTACTATAATCATTGTCTGGCCGTCCTACTGTTACATCCTACTATAATCATTGTCTGGCCGTCCTACTGTTACATCCTACTATTCATTGTCTGGCCGTCCTACTGTTACATCCTACTATAATCATTGTCTGGCCATCCTCCTACTGTTACATCCTACTATAATCATTGTCTGGCCGTCCTACTGTTACATCCTACTATAATCACTGGCTTACATCCTACTATAATCATTGTCTGGCTGTCCTACTGTTACATCCTACTATATCTCATTGTCTGGCCGTCCTACCCTTACATCCTACTATAATCATTGTCTGGCCGTCCTACTGTTACATCCTACTATAATCATTGTCTGGCTGTCCTACTGTTACATCCTACTATATTCATTGTCTGGCCGTCCTACTGTTACATCCTACTATATTCATTGTCTGGCCGTCCTACTGTTACATCCTACTATAATCATTGTCTGGCCATCCTACTGTTACATCCTACTATAATCATTGTCTGGCCGTCCTACTGTTACATCCTACTATATTCATTGTCTGGCCATTGTCCTACTGTTACATCCTACTATATTCATTGTCATTCCGTCCGTCCTACTGTTACATCCTACTATAATCATTGTCTGGCCGTCCTACTGTTACATCCTACTATAATCATTGTCTGGCCATCCTACTGTTACATCCTACTATAATCATTGTCTGGCCGTCCTACTGTTACATCCTACTATAATCATTGTCTGGCCGTCCTACTGTTCCTACTATATCCTACTATTACATCATATAATCATGGTCTGTCCTATCCTACTGTTACATCCTACTATAATCATTGTCTGGCCGTCCTACTGTTACATCCTACTATAATCATTGTCTGGCCGTCCTACTGTTACATCCTACTATCTACTGTTACTCCTACTATAATCATTGTCTGGCTGTCCTACTATAATCATGTTACATCCTACTATAATCATTGTCTGGCCGTCCTACTGTTACATCCTACTATAATCATTGTCTGGCCGTCCTACTGTTACATCCTACTATAATCATTGTCTGGCTGTCCTACTGTTACATCCTACTATAATCATTGTCTGGCCGTCCTACTGTTACATCCTACTATATCCTACTGTCCTACTGTCTGTTGTCTGTCTGTCCTACTGTTACATCCTACTATAATCATTGTCTGGCCGTCCTCGTTGTCTGGCCGTCTACGTCCTGTCATGCAGTCCTCAGCCATCCATCCTGTTGGATCCTGTGTCATGTGTTGTGTGTCCTTCATTGGATCTGGACGTCCATGTGTCCATATTCGTTGTCGGGCCGTCCTTTTGTCTGTGTTGTCGTGGGTCGTCCACGTCCTGTCTGTGGGTCCTGACCGTCCTGTTGTGTCGTTGTCTGTGTCTGTCGTCATGGTCTGTAGATCCTGTCGTGGTCCTGGCGTGTCCGTTGTGGCCGTCCGGTCATTTGTCCTGTGTCCTGTGTTGCCCTGTCATTGTCCTGGTCCGTTCCTGTTGTTCTGTCTCGGATCATGTCATGGTCTGGCCGTCCTTTGTTGTCCATTCTGTCATGGGTCCGTTGTCGTGTCCTGTGTGGTCGGGCCGTCCCTGTTGTCCTGTGTTGTCTGGCCGTCCACTGGGTCTGTCCTGTCTGTCCTGTCCATGGTCTGTGTCCTGTCGTTGTCTGTGTCCTGTCGTTGTCTGGCCTGGTGTGTCGTTGGGTCCTGTCCGGGCCGTTGTCATTCCGTCCTGGCGTTCTGTGTCTGTGCATTCGTTGTCGCCGTATTCGTTGTCGGGCCGTCCTGTTGTCCGGGCCGTCCACTGTTCGTTGTCCGGGGCCGTCCGGTTGTGCTCGTTGTCCGGCTGTCTGTCGTTGTCTGGCCTCACTGTTTTTGTCC